AGAAGACCAGAAAGAACCGGTTTATTTAATCCAGCAAGTGAAGTCGGGGAGGATTGTGCTGTCTGACAGTTGGGGTGGGGGAGGGAGAGAAATAAACACCATGCAGGGAAGCAGAGCTGTTTAAGCTAAAGGATAGTGTTGGCACAAGAACAAATGAATATAAATTGGCTGTGCATAAATCGAAGCTAGAAATTAGTTGCTAACCAGCAGAGGAGTGAGTTCCTATAAGAGCTTTCCACTGGGAGCAGAGGGAGCAGTTCACCAACGTACTTAGAAGATGAAGCTTGCTCCATTTGTGACCAGGATTATATGTAGCAGGGCTTGCTGCAGCAAGGGATGGGCCTGAGGACCAGGAACCCTCCTCCTATTTCTAACTGTATGTGGCCTTAAAGACAAATCTACATCCCCTATGCAAAACACGTAAATAAGAGTGCTCCCTGCAGGTCTTGCTGGTCAGGGACAACTAATCCCCTTCCAAACCAGTCTCAGAGATATCCAGTCAGTCACTGCCAGACGCAGTCTCTGCCCGTTTCCTCTCTGCAGCCTGTGGGCTCCACGGCTCCCTCGTGCAGCTGCGGCACGGGCTATCTTTAGCAGTCGTTCCACTGTGATGCCTCTTCGCCCTTTGCACTTTGTCTCCAATGCAGCAAATGCAGTGGCTCTGCTGGTTTGAGGGACTTTCTGTGGCCGTACAGCCCAAGGGGAGATTTGTGCTAGAAGATGGCTTAAATGCTGTTTCTGCTTGATGTCAGTAGTGAGGTTTAGTAAGGAGTTACTTAGCACCTCCATTTTTTAATTTTTAAAATACAGGGAAATAACTGTGAGAAGATAAAAGTCTAAAATTTTCATTGCATAATTGAAATTAAACCAATTTTTGGCAACGGTGATACGCCTTCCACTGTGCCACTAACTTACCATATTATACCAATACAGCATGGTCTCTTCCCAGTTTTCTCCTAGCATACTTTAGGGTAGCGTGTCTAGGTTAGAAAGCAGAATCAGGAGATTTTCCCGGTGTTTTCTGCTTTATCTACCAAATAACACTTTGCTTTCAGATGCAATCTCAGTTGCAGGTGACAATCATCCTTTTTCTGTTGTTCCTAACTCATTCCACCGGTATGAAGGGGCTTTCTTCCTGCTGTTGGACTACTGTGAGAACACTTTTGGCCTTCGTTTATGTATTGAATAGCTAATGGGTACCAAGCAGTCAGCTAGGATACACTTAGATACTCCTTTCTTCTAAAAAACACACGGAGGAGGGAAATGGAACACTTAAGATTATTGCAGATCCTACCTCCATTGTCACCTCACATCATCTGCTGCAATATGGACTAGCACCTATGGTGTGCATTGATTCTATGAGAACATGTATATTTTAAGGTGTGCCCTTTTTAAATAATATTTCTTACCATGTAAGTGTTTATGCTTCCAGGACATGGCAGATTGTACTCCCTGTTACTGCTGATTTTTGAGCTTCCCCAGTAGAGATGATAGGCCAACTTCAGCCTTGATTTCAGTGAATTTGGTGGCTCTTTTTGCTCTGGAATTGAGATCCATCTTAGAGCTTCCTCCTTGAAAGCCAGGGCGTTCTGAGACCAAAATTGGTATTTAGGTCAGCTCCCTCTGTTCATTTTAGGGTATTTTTGAGCCAGATGATAATGGCAACATTTTTTAAAGAAAAGCAAATGAGCCAGGACAGACTGAGATTTGGTAATGAGCATTGAAGTGGCATGAAAGTGACTGGTATTCTGCAAATGACCCCTGTTTAGCAGCTTTTTGGAGCTGTGTGCAATGGGAGATAGCTAGTAGAATTCCAGCTTTTAATGGGGGCTTTTTTTCAGGTCAAAAATTCTTAATAATACAGAGCTGGTGCTTCAGAGCCCAATGTTAGCAAACCTGACACTAGGGAGTAATATCATTGGCTTTCATGTGCCTATTTACTGTAATAAGGATTACCAACGTAAGTAAAACTTGCAGGTTTGGGCCTACAAAATTAAAAGAAAAGCCTTTTCACACTCTGAAACTGCATCAAAATTCAATTTCACCAGAAAAAAAAAAATCCTTCTGATCTAGTCCCTGGAATGTGACATTTCATGGGTGTAATAAGGTTACAAACAGATTATAAATTGAAACCCTATAAATCCTTATTGTACTGTACCAAAGCTTCTGCTTTGCATAATACTCTTATTCCTGACTGTTCTTTGTTTTACAAGCTCAAAACTATTCATTCCCTCTCATAATAGAGACCAGGGAGCCAAAAACACTGTGCAAAATCCAAAGGTAATTATCTGAGTTGAAGAACCTGAATGCCAGAGTTCACAAACTTCTGAACTTTTCTAATTGCACAGTGAGACCTCCCTCTTCCTTGAAACATGTTGTAAATATTGCACGTTGTTTCTGCCAAATGATAATGATAAAAAATCCCAGTGTAGATTTAGTTCCTGTTTTGTGTTTATAGGGTTCTGCCTATGTGTCCATAGTAGATGACTGAACAGTTTTCAAATCATAACGTGAGCAAGTGACGGTGTTTCATTGTGGCCCTACGTGGTCAGGATTACAAATGCTGTGAATTACCTGAGAGCACCGTTGGTTTCTGCTGTTGGCCTCTTACTTGTGCTGATTTCATGTCTAGCAAGTGTCTTCTTCCAGTATTTAGGCACATTTATGGGTCTGCTAAAATATCACCCCTCTACAAAAAGCAATTGAACAGCTCACCTGAGAGCTAAAGAAATTACCCAAATTAGCAGATGATGTCATGGACTCATTTCTTATAGGCCTTATCTGAAGGTGAGGATCCTCAGAGGGGTTGAATCAGAATGAGATGGCTTTGCAGGTGAGCTCTCAGAGGCCACTTGGAGCATCAGAGCAATGAGGGGTTCGATTGTAAGAAGATCGGAGGGAGTAGGAAAGGAGTGACACGGTAAGGGAGCAGGGCAGATGAATATGGAGGGACACTGCTGTGCAGTGACCTGCAGGTGATCACGAGATACCTGACAGGTGAGCCAGTGGAGTGATGGGAAAAGGCAAATGATCAAGTCACCATCCTGGGCAAGATTTGTCAGCCACTGCAGTGAGCCTGGGGAGGGAGTGAGGAAGGGGAGTTCTACAGCCATGAGAAAGGCCAGTTTTAAAGGATGTTCATAAAGGCTAGAGGTCTGGAGGGCAAGGAGCAAGCCCGTTTGCAAGGACAAAGAGAAAAAGTATCCTATGGAGAATTTCTCTGCAAGAGCATCCATGGTGCCTGAGTGTCCACACAGCGGGAGGTGCTGTTGTGAACTGATTGAACCAGCCCTGAAGTTTTTGTATCAAATGGAAAGCCTGTGTCACACACTCAATTTTCGTTTGGCCAAGAATTACTTTAATGCATTGAGTTTTGTCCCATTACTTCTTTCTCTTTCAGGAAAGAAGAATGCACATTAACCTTGTTGTACTCGTCCGATGCCATTTCACAGCCCAAGGCATCTGTACACTTTTGGTACAGGCGTGTATAGTACAAATGGATTAGAGATCTGCACTTGAAACAAACTCCTGCAGATTACATGTTGTATGTTGTCCAGCACATCTGCTCTGTTCATGCGCTCTGTGCCCCATCACAACTTTTAAGAAATGGCAATAAAGTTTCAGAAGGAGAAAAAGAGCAGTCATCTTTTATAGGCAACACACATCTGTTTGCCATGGCGATGCCGCATAATTGTGAACATAAGTGATTTTATTTGGTTTTCTGATTGTTTTCAGGACTTTAGAAAAGATTGGGATTATCTTCTTTGTGTTCCAGTATGACCTACTGAGTTTCTGTACGGCTGGCTTTTTCTGTGAGCTACTTACGGAGCAGATACAGATTTCATCCCTGTGCTGTGATCAAATAGGAAGTCTGGAAGGATTTTGTCTAGTAGGTTAATGGAAATAATCGCATTAGCTGAGAAATGTGGCCATCTAGTGGCACAGCTAGCAAGCTGTGGTGGAAAGTACAGCAATGGGGAAGTCTCTGAGGCAGGATTTCTTCAAGAGTC